GCCAGGTGCTGTGGCAGGCGCCTGTGGTCCCAGGTACTTGGGAGGCAGAGGCAGGAGACTCGCTTAAGCCCAGGAGTTGGAGGTTGCTGTGAGCTATGATGCCACAGCACTCTAACCAGGGGACAGCTTGAGGCTGTGTCTCAAAAAAAAAAAAAAGTCTCACTTTGTCGCCCTTTGTAGAGTGCTGTTGCATCACACCTCACAGCAACGTCAAACTCCTGGGCTCAAGTGATTCTCTTGCCTCAGCCTCCCAAGTAGCTGAGACCACAGGCACCTGCTACAACGCCCAGCTATTTTTGTTTGTAGTTGTCATTGTTGTTTGGCAGGTCTGGGCTGGATTGGAACCTGCCACTTCTGGTGTATGTGGCTGGCACCCTAGCTGCTGAGCTACAAGCACTGAGCCTATATCATGATTCTTCCCTATAAAGTGCTAAAAGGTTAAACCATTATTTTCTCTGAAATTCATTGCAACAAATAACTTTGAGTCACTGACTTTGTTTTATATTTTAAAATTTTATAAAATACCACTGTCACTATATTCTAATTAACATTTTTATACTAATGGGTACAATGAACACTATTTGTGTGATGGGTACACTTACACCTGTGACTTAAGCATTACAAAAGCAATACACGTAACCAAAACACTTTTGTACCCCCTAAATATTTTGAAATAAAAATAGTTTATAACACTTCAGAAAAATGAGTTTATAGAAAAACATTGAGATAACTGATTTCTATGACTTTCAAAGCTAAAATACATACTTAACCTACACTTAAAAAAAAAAAAACAGTAAGGTTACAAAAACAGAATAGCACAGCCATCACCACAGATAACTGGCATGCATACATGCTATCACCTAGGCATGCTCTAACTTCAGAAACCATGTGGCAACAGCTCTACATTTTACCCAATCTCATCAATGAAAGACACTGACTCTTCCATATTTCTTCCACATACATTCTTACGGCAGCCATGGCAAGAAGTCTCTGTGCTCTCGATCTGCCGCTCGAGCTCCACGGCTCGGACGCCAGGTGCCAGAGCGCTGCGACAGACCCCACAGACAGGTTTCTTCGGCTTCAGACATTCCTGCAGGCATGCAGAGCAAAAGCTAGAACAAGACATACAGAGAACCGCTGTCATGCATCATGGAGACACGACAATGAATATGGATCATCTTTTAAAAAGACATCAATGGATAATGGATCAAAAACAACTTGCTCCCTACTCCCAATTCAAATACTAAGTCATTCTGGACCAGAAAAATTAGGGGTGGAAGGAGACTTCAAAGAACACAAGGGTACAGAAACAAACACAAATTAGGATGATACATAGCACACGATGTTACGCTTGAGGCTTCAAACTTTAGGCCCTGCAACTGAGGAATCTTAGTGGAGTTTCCTGAGCCTCTGATTTCTTCTCTGTGAAGACAGAAGTATCTACCTGTAGGATTGTTGAGAAGATGAAAAGTGTACAGCAGACTCTCAGAGTGTCTAGCACACATGACATCCACAATAAATGGAAGCTGCTACCATTAGAGGTGAAGACAAAGTACTATGGGAACACAAAGGCAAATGACTTGAGAAGGACAGAGCTGTAAGACTTCAGAGGCAGCATTCATTATCTGCCTTAAAAGGGTTCAGCCAGCAGAGGAAGGAAAGAATATTCTAGATTCTTAGGCTTAAAATTCATGATGAATCAAAATCTAGCAGACTTTTCCTTATAAGGAGTAGAGAAGGGAGCCAGAGGTTTAAAGCAAGAGGTAATCAACAAGACCAAAGTTTCAGAAAAATAACTCTGGTGCTATCAAGGACATAGGTTTTTGTTTGCTTTCGTTTTAGGTGAGGGAAGATGAGGAGAGACAAAATAGAAACTAAAAGATGACTAAAGGCAAGGGATTATGAGGGCCTGACTGAGGAAACACAGAATGAATTCAGCAAATGAATCAGAAGGAGAATGTGTAGGACTTGGTAACTTAATTTGAAGAAGTCAAAGATGACCAAGTTTCTATCCTGAAGCTTTGGCAGGTGATGATACCAAGATAAGGTACACAAATAGAATGGACAATAAGGCACAAAAATACCCTGGACTACTTACCCAAACTGATTTCAGACAGGATAACAAAATCTGCCAGGAAGAACTCAGGATTTATAATCAAAGGCAATCTTTTGCACATTTGACAATTTTTTACCGTCTCTAAGAATCCCCTTCCTCTTTGTCATTAAGCTAGGTATTAATGCTGCTAGGCAAACTTCCAGACCAGGTTGGGAGAAGGTGATGGGGTCTATTCATTCACCCCGAGAGCAGAATAGAAACTAGACAGAGTCCCTGCCCTCGTGATGATAATATTCTAGAGTGGAAGAAAACAAAAACATTAATTTCAGACAGTAAGCATATAAAGGAAATAAAACACAGCAATGAGATCAGCTGAGGTATCAGAGAAAGCTTGTTTGAGATGAGGTTAAGACCTGACAAAGCTTGTTTGAGATGAGGTTAAGAGGACAGTCACACAGATGTAGATGCTGAGTTCCACACCAAAATGATATGCAAAGAAATGTCTGAAAGGGCTCGGTGCCTGAGGCTCAAGCGGCTAGGGCGCCAGCCACATACACCTAAGGTGGCGGGTTCGAATCCCCAGCCCGGGCCCGCCAAACAACAATGATGGCTGCAACCAAAAAATGG